GTCTCACAAATTCAGAAACAGGGAACCTAAGCCAAATTTTCAAACAAGAAATCATTTGACTTAAAGTTTCAGGGTTTCAATTACAACTGCCAATGTTAGATTTCATGACAATGAAACTCAAAGCATACATTTTGAACACATTACAAATCCCAAAAGAAAAAAACACTCTAAATAAGAAATTAAAAGAAAAAAAATAATACCTGAAGATAAAGTGGGTGATCCTTTATCCTCAATTCTTTAAGAACCGCAAGCCAGTGAGCTCTGCTAGGCTTCATAGCCCTAACCCAAGCAGCTAATAACTCACACAAACTACCCTTCTGAGGAGAATAGCAAATGAGCTGCCTCATCAATGCCTTACAACGTTTGGCCATATGATATGGCAATTGAGCTATAGCTTGTTTCTGGGCTTCAGTGATCTCAGGGTCTACCGCATCCAACTTAAACCTTGGCTTCCCTTCTTTACTCTCTGTCTTTGCTGTCTCTTCCACGCTTGCAGCCGCTAAGGGTCGGTGAAAATGGTGGCCATTGGAGCAGAGACTCATTGGGATTGCCCAGAAAGTGCTGCCCGTGAATTGGAGGTGATGGGTTTTTCTCAATCCATTGATTACTGGGTTTGCTGGGTGTGGATAGCAAATCATGTTGGAAGCATAGGTGGCCATGGAAAAAATGTGGCAAGCTGCCAGTGAAATGAACAAAGAAGCAAAGGCAACTTTTTTTGGAATTGGGTCAGAGTGAGTGAAAATTAGGAGTTGTTTAAGGAGTGGTTTCCATGGCTAATTTAGGCATATTGGGTTGGGATATGGGAGCAAAAGAAAGGAAAAGGTCCAGTCGCAGACTGGGATTTTTTGCCGGTTGCGCAATCTAACAGCCAGCGGCGGTAGTTTTCCCGGCTTGTTAGGCAGGTTGGGCTCCCTGCCCATTATAAAGAAGGGCCTTGGATTTTAGGGTCCAAAGTCCGTCCATTTTTAATGGGCCATATGAAGAGTAGATCTCTCTTTTTATGTGACCGTCACACCGACATGTAATGTTATTAATTCAAATTACGATATGAGTAGACAACGTGTTTATATTGTAAGGTATTATATATTATTTTTAGAAGAAACAAAATTTTAATTACTAAAATATCAAACCATTAAATTAAGGGTCCAAATCAGGAGGACCAATATCCACACTATCAAAAAGCCAAGGATACAAGGTGACCCCCTCCCCCTACAAGCCATCAATATCCACACTATCAAGCTTATTGAAAGATTCTCTCCTAGTACTAGGAACAGACAAGGTGACCCCCTCTCCCCCTACATCTTTGTTCTGTGCATGGAAAAACTTTCTCATATTATTATCGATCATGTTTCCTCTGGAACTTGGAAGTTTGTTAAGGTTGCCAGAAATTGTCCTGCTATATCCCACATCTTCTTTGCTAATGACCTTATTTTATTTGGGGAAGCCTCTATCCACCAAGCTAAGCTTATGAAGTATTGTTTGGATTTATTTTGTGGTGTCTCGGGTCAACAAGTTAATTTTGAAAAATCCAGAATTTGTTGCTCTCCTAATACTGATTCTGGGATTGCTTTTACTATTGCTAATATTTGTGGGTCTCCCCTTACTAATTGTCTTGGAAATTATCTTGGTGTTCCCTTGATCTAGTCTAGAATTACCAAGGATTCTTACTATGAGATTATTGACAAAGTGCAGCGTAGATTGGCTTCCTGGAAAAGTCACACTTTATCTATAGTAGGTAGATTAACTTACTTGCATGCTGTTACCTTAGCTATTCCAATTTATACTATGCAAACTGTTGATCTTCCCATGTCTACTTGCAACCAGCTTGATAAGCTTAACAGGGATTTTTAGTGGGGTTTTACTGGTGATAAAACTAAAATTCACCTTGTTAATTGGGACACTGTTTGTCAACCTAAGAGCTTTGGTGGTCTAGGCATAAAAAAAGACTCATTGTATGAACCAGGCTTTACTTGCCAAGACGGGTTGGAAAATTGTCCAAAAGGATCATGGTCTTTGGTCTCAAGTTCTTAATGGTAAGTATCTAAAAGATCAAAGTTTGCTTGCTGCCCCAAATCTCAAATTCCTTAATTGCTCTATTACTTGGAGAGGTATTCTTTTTGGTTCTCAAATTGTCTCTAAAGGGCTTAAATGGAGAGTTGGTAATGGTGACAATATCTTGTTTTGGAAAGATAATTGGGCAGGTTGTGGGCCTCTTGAGAACTTAGCCACTATTTCCCTTTCTGATGATTTGCTTGAGTGGACTGTGAGTGATTTCTTTATGGAGCAAGGTTGGAACACCAATTGGCTTCTGGGTTGTCTCCCCTTGGATGTGGTGCAGAAAATTCATTGTATTCATGCAGGGTTTAATCATATTGAGGTGGACTCTTGTATATGGCAGCTTACCTCCAATGGTGAATTTTCAATGAAAACAACTTATCTCTCTTTGTTTACTGAGGAGACTAATCATACTTGGAATTGGGATACTATTTGGGAGCTGCATGTTCCTCCAAAGATAAAAACCTTTGTTTGGTTGCTGTTTCAAGGTAAGCTCTTAACCAATGTCCAGCGTGTAAGAAGGAACTTAGCTTCCAATCCTAATTGCCCTTGTTGCAATGTTTCCATAGAGTCCTTGGACCATCTTTTTTGCAGGTGTAGTCATGCAGCTAGAATGTGGAATTCCATTGGTATTCCTAATCAAATTGCTTAGTTTTTCTCTATGGATTTTAAGGACTGGATTTTCATCAATATTGAGGCTAGTTTCAGCTTCATGCAAGGTATCCCTTAGTCCTTTATGTTCTTGGCCTCTCTATGGTTTTGCTGGAAATGGTGATGTAAGAAAGTGTTTGATGTCAACTTTACTCCTCCTCATTGGCCCCACATTCAAATCATTCAATTTACTAGGGAATGGCTGGTGGCTAACTGCTCCAGGAATTCTAAGACTTCCAAACAAATTCTTAAGTTACATTGGTGCTTGTGCTGGCTGTTTTAAAATTAATGTGGATGGTAGTTGTATGGGTGAGATGGGATCTATTAGTGCTGGAGGCATCATAAGGGACTCTACGGGTGGATAGATTAAGGGTTTGTTACAAACTTGGGGTGTGGTAAAATCCTTGAAGCTGAATTATGGGGTGTTTTCAGAGGTTTACTCCTTACATGGAACGAAGGTATCCGAAGAATTAAAGTGGAGTGTGACTCTTTTACTGCTGTCTCCTTAATTAATGGAGAAACTAGACCTAGTCACCCTCTCTCTAGCCTCATCTATAGTTGCAAATACATGCTCTTTCGTGATTGGGAGTGTTCCATCTCTCATATTTATAGAGAACAAAACATTGTTGCTGACCATATGGCTCATATGGTCAAAGTTCCAATTTGGTTATCATGTTGTTGATCTTCCCCCTCATTCTATTGTAAGCCTCTTGGCAAATGACTCTGTTAGGATGACCACTGCTAGGCTTGTCCCAGTGTAGTTTTCTTTTTGGTTTTTTGTTGGGCTTCGGCCCTCCTTGTAACCAAAAAAAAGAAGAAGCCATTGATACAACTTCTCACTCTCACTATTGGGAAAGTCTCAGTGACAAACATGCCACAATCAACCACAAAACTCAAAAACACATAAATATAAAAAATTTGGATGAACTTAAAATAAAATTCATTTGTATTCAATATTAATTTGCCAAATAGTATTGAAACCACCTCTTCACAAAATTCTTAAAAATGTTAACAACAAAAAATCCTCAAATGCACACCAATATCTTATTTGCAGCTCATTATAGTTTAAGGGCGCCTCCACTCTTGTATGTTGAAGACTACAACAATACGTTTGGATAAGGGAAATAAATTTAGGATTTTGACAAAAGTAAGAATCTCTAAATTGACATAAAACAATTATTGTATTTGGATAACAAAACAAAGAAATTTAGAAATTCCGCGTGGGAAAAAAATATGGAATTTGGAGGACATAAATTCCAACTAAATAGTCGTCATTTCTAAAATTCCTCTTACATGTGTTTATTGGGTTTATAATATATATATATATATATATATAACACTATAAAAATAAACATTAAATTCCATGTTTAAATCCGTTAGCCAAATAATAAATTTTATAAATTCTAGAACATTAATTTTCGTCATCTTAAATTCCATAATTTATAATGGAATAATCTCCACTCATCACAGGTGAATGCGTCTTGGCTTCGGATCTCCATCTACGTTTTGGTGTCAGATCGCTACTACCATCCTTTTTGCGGTTTCTTCATATTTGAAATAAGTTGCAAAGACTCTTTGGGTTTCCTGTGTAATTTCACCTCTTATTTGTGAGAGCTTTCCACCTCTATTATGTGATAGTTTTATTTGCATTCTAATGGCTTGGTTTTTTCAAGCTTTATCTTTTTTTTGGTTGTTCTGAGTTTGCACTCTTAGTTGCAATGGTGAAGCCAAAAAATCTATCAATAGGGATCAACCCACAAGTGACAAGATTAACACATAATAAATTAAAAAATTCATCTAATATTATTAAGTTATTACAAATAAAGAAATAATTAAATAGGTAAGTAGCATAAGTAAGGGACACGCAAGACAAAAAATTTCATCTTCTGTAAGTCATCATTCTACTTTTGTAGGTTTTTCAAAAGGGAGGATGATGAGAAGGGTCAAATTTCAGAAATAGTGTACAAAAAAATCAAGTACAAACCTGTAAAACGATAAAATATGCTAAACATGAGAAGGGTCACTTGACCACTGTGAGCCTTCATGGGCTCTGCCCACGCTTAGTCTATACTAGAGTTTCTTCGATCATGCGTGAACATTAGTGGAGGCGCCCCAGATTGTCCTAATTTTAATGTTAGATAGCTTCGTTATTATAATGGCCCTTTGTGGCTAGTGGTTTTTTTGATTGAATTATGAATGCAATCCTAGAATTTCTTTATAAAAAAAAAAAGTTTCCATCATTTATAAATTCCTTGGTACTTTTAAATTTTCTCATCCAAAGGCACTACAAGATAAAGTGAATTACACATAAAATAAAATAAAAAAGTGTGAGGAGGGTAGTTGATGTAAAGAGGCAAAGCATCAATCTTTATTATAAAAATATGCAGCCCAAATTTTTACTGTAAATATGATAAAAACATAATATTCTTGTTGTAGATATATACAATACAAGTGTATAACTATTACAACTACATAACTAATTTTGATTCTAAATTTTGCTCTATAATGTTCCCATCAATTTACATATGCCAACATCAAAGAATAAAGCATAAGGTAATGTCAGCACTCGCCACATTAAGAAAATGATTTTGGCATTTCGATCATCTACAATATAAATAGAATCATATATTTTCTTTCACTTGTTTATCGTTTAAATTTTAACTTTTTTGGTTATAAAATCTGCAGAGAATCTTCATTTTAATTTTGTTTGTACCGAAAAAATATATATTTTGTTTCCCTAATGATACTCGATGTGATTGTATTACATTATACCTGAGAAATGAAATTTATTTAAAACAAAAGCTTTTGTAAGTATTTTTTATTTTCCCTTATACACGCCATTTTTAAGATCCAAATTAAAAGAAAAAAGTGAATTTATGTGTTTTCTGTTTTAGAAGCAAGACATTGACTCATGGCCCATCAACAATCATAGGAAATCGATAAAATAAAGTAAAATAAATTTAATTTAATGCCTTGCCTTACAAGCTTCGGTTGTTCTTGAGGATCTCACATTGCGAAATTTTACTTTTGCAAAATAGTTTATAAAATCTTGAGTTTCTTTATCTTCGTAACAAACTTTTAAATTCCAGAAGTGTCAATTTTAGATTTGAAAGTAACGGCTCATATATTTCCTAGATTTGAGAATTCAGTTATTCGAAAAGAAAT